ATCTACAATATAAGTACTGTTTCATTCATTTTGCTCCATAGGAGTTACTTATTTTAAAGCAGCATGAACTCAGTGGGCAATAATTGTTCTTGAAGATGTCACAATTAGGCAGGAAGGAGTGTATTTATGATAATAAAAAAGTCATTTTCAAACATGGATTGCACATCAAGTCATGGAATGTGAAGTAATGGCTCCCATCTGGATCCAAATTTCCCTCATTCTTACTCAATAGCCAGTGCTAAACGTTATGGCTATTTATAGTTATGTCCCAAGGTGGGCGGGAGGAGGGAATTAGATGGCATAAAGAATCATATGTAATACATACGAATTTAAACTATATTTTATGAGACCTGAAAAATTTAAGAAACTGTGAGTGAGATATGGAAATGTCACACGAAGCAGAAATTCCTCCTACACAATAACCTCAGTAAAGATTTCACAGACAAGAATACAGCACACCCTCAAACCACTGCAGAGTTATCTGCACTTCTGTTAACATGTAATATATTTTAATGAATAATTTGAAGAAATATACTAAGAATAAATTTGAAAGTCTCTAGAAAAAAAAACACTAGATACTAACACGTTAGATAGTGGTTATCTGTGGGTCAAAATTACTAAACATATAAACAGATACTAATGAGATACGCTTCCCTATCAGTGAACTATTTTGTAACAGACTTTTGAAAGATAAATTCTATTTCAGCTGATTGATAAAAAGTTGATTAACTTGGTTATGAAGTCATCCTATTCACTGTAACAACATAATACAAAACAAGGTTCCATAGTTGATTGTACCATGCGGCAATCACCCATAACGTCAGTTCGTCCTTTGAGGTCAGTGACTACATGATCACTGTCACTCCCCAGGGCCTCATGCTATGTGTCTGTAACATGAAAGACACATAATAGAGGCTGGTTCAGTGAATTTACAGTTATACAATGCATGAGTGCTAGGTAGATGCAGATAAGTAAGTGAACATATGCAGTAGTAAAAACAGTTAAACTTTAATTTACAAAAGAAGCTACACACTTTGCCATCTCATGATTCAAAGATAAGGACCTAAAGCCACTCCTACTAACTACTCCTACCCTTTTCTCTCTCCACCTTTACACTGTCCCTCCCACACCACAAAAACATACAACTCATCCAACATCGATAAGATCGATTCTAACTATAAAAGTTTACAGAGTGGTTGATGTTTTACAACAATTCAGGTAACAATTTGATGCACCTTAAAATGTTTGGGAACATTTCTAGTACATAAAATAAAAGGCATGTATTTTCTATTTTTCAGCCTTTTTAAAAAGATGCATTACTCTTGCATCACATTTGAGAAACAATACAGTTTCTGTTTTTATTGTTTAGTTTTAACAAACAACTATATTTACTGTTCCATCATTGAAAAGCACTTCTCCAAGTGAGCTTACGTCTTCTCAATTAGTCTAAAAGGATTTCCCATCATTGGGAAATTTCCTAAGCTAAAATTTCCTAAGCTAAAATTCATCTTGTAACCCTCCTTTAGACTGTCATGGATTTTCAGAAATTTCCTTATCAAGTACTTTTCATTAACACAACCTCCTACTGTTTTAAATTTTCTTTTATTTTAAAGATAAAAGAATGAAAACATCTAAATGAACACACATACATTTAAAGAATAACACAAAAACAACATAAGCAACACAGAATCTCAGACAAGGTGATAGGAAATTAACAATGGTTGTTGTATTACACATTAATATCTTCAATTTGGATATTCAGATAAACAAATACAGACATGTAAGTTTGATCATACACTTAGACATTAACTGTTCCTTTCAATAGAGCAATAAAAGTCAGTAGTACAACTAGGTTAGCTGTCCTGTGTATACGCATACATATATTTTTCCCCCTTCTTTCTTTTCCCTTTTCCCTCATCCCAGTTGTTCTTTCCTTTGAGCAGTTTCTTTCCCTTTCACAATGTCTATTGTACCTCCTAGATTTTATTCACTCTACTTCTTTTATCCAATTGTATTCACTATAAGTAACGTATTGGTGCCTTGCATGACACTGAGAATATAACACATTCTGCTCTTACACAGGTAAGGGATATTCACTGGCTCTCTGATGCCTGGAGAACTTCGATAAATATCTTTTTGGAGTCATAAGTATGCATAGTTTATTGTACCCAGGTTTTACAAATACATTTTAAACCATGACACTCCCCAAATTTTAATTACTCCTTCACTTGCTAAACACACATAGAAGTTATAATTTACCAGTGTTTGTCAGCAGTGGTAACCAAACTGACTAGTTTAAAAGAACAGTAAGAAAGAAAATAATACATCTTTTCAAAAGTAGCTTCTAGAATGCAAATGATGCAGACCATACAGGAGTATCACCACCTCAACCAAAGCCAACCACTTCCAGAAGCTTAAGTCTTTGGTTATTTAAACTATGGTTTCCTGGGCAAAATGGTCAAACTACCAAAAAAGGTAAACAAAAATCCCCTGCTAAGTCTCCAGGAAGTGTCCTGTGAGAAACCACCGCCACTGTTTCTGAACTCTTACACCGCCCTGAGTCTTTAAGCGAGCCTCTTCTCTCTTCCACCACTAGATCAGAGAGGTCCCTCTCATTTGTTAACGGATCTGCTTGGACTGTTCAGTTAGCATCCTGCTCTCCTTCCTCTCCGCAAGCATTTGTTTATGTGTTATACTGAGGACCAGACACATATTAAAAACTCACCCTCATTCCTGGGCCTTCTTTTGGGACAAGCATATGGTCCCCTGTTAGATTTTATGGTGAGAAGACATCTACAAGTGCCTTGTTCCATGGATTATGTAACATGAAATAGTCAACTACCCTAAAACAGACAATGGAGTAAAAACATTCATACACCTGGCCTCAGATTTTAAGAAAACTACAATCTCAAGTAAATAGTAAGCATCTACTTCTTACCAGTCATATTACAAGGCTAAAACAACACTAATCCCATCTTGCAAAATACTACTCAAAACAAGACACCACCCTAAAAGCTATAAAACTTCTTCAGTGATAAACTTATATATAATAACTACTTGAATCAACAGTGCTCTGTTAAAAAAGGGTGGTTTCTAAGACATGTAGTTTAATTTTATATTCTTACTTTTTGTTTTTATGTATGCATAATTTAGTTTATCCGTATAATTTATATATAAGCAAATTAATGGTAAATGATATGCACATAATTTTTTAATAATACATTTCACAAATATAGCAATTTTGGAACCCACTGATGCACGCAATTAAATTTTGCTGGTACTAGTAATCCAGGCAGAGACACAAATGCCCCTTCCTATTTCTATCAGAATCTCAAAACTCAGGGACTGGGGATTTAGCTCAGCGGCACAGCACCTGCCTGGCAAGCACAAGGTCATGAGTTCAATTCCCAGTACCAGAAAAAAACAAACAAACAAAAAAATGAATCTCAAAACTCTCCTACTTCCATGGGCAGAGAATGAAAACCGAGAAAGAAAGATGCACAGTTATCACAAGGCGAGTCAATCCCATCTATTATTCCTGGTAGAATGCTCTCATGTGAGCTTCCCCAAATAATAAGTTCATGCAAAAGGTTCTTTTATCATCAACCCCTTAAAAATGGATCCCAAAACAACTATCTTTCGTATTTAGTTTTATATCTGTCTAAGTGGAGTGATAAGTCAGCTTCCAGTATTTACAGGGTTAACAGGATTTCTCGAGTTTTGGGTGGAGGGTCTGTGCCATTAGGAGTGCGTACCCTAGACAGATGGTCAGAAGAACGCTTTCTTGTGCAGCCATACCTTTTCTCTAGCCCAGGAGAACCTTTTGTCTGCTGCTCTATTCAGCCTCAGGAAGAGTAGGAATTAGAACTGGTCTCTAAGTGGAGTTTAAAATAATTGTCTTTAGGTCTAGAATATCCCAAAGGAGTATCTTCTACTCTAAGTTTTATGTCCTTTATTCAGGCTTATCCTTGAACTTGATTTGGGTCCGTGCCCCTCTTTCACCTCAGAAGTCTAGATATTTTATTGCCTTTTAGATTCACCTCTTCACGAAGGAACATAATTGTAAATAACTAGCAAAGAAATAGACCCTCAGATGCCTCCCAGGGAGAGGAGCGGGGGACTGCCCCAGGGGAGTGTTCCAAACGGGCAAGAGAACAAAGCCAAGGGTGCTCACGGGGTTATTGAGAGCTTACCAGCTTGTTTAGTGTGGTTTCCTTAGAAGGATCTCATCTAGGCTTCTATTTCTTATCCTTCTTGGAGCTTCAAACGCAATGTTTATATAAGTTTTGGCTGTGTGTGTCTGAAGCACTGACATGTTCCTACGGGTAGCTGATGGTCTTAGTTACTTTTCTCTCATTGCTGAGACAAAATGCCTGATGCCCAGAATTAAGGGACGGAAGGTTTATTTAGCTCACAGTTAGCAGAAGTTTCAGTCCATAATCAGATGGCTCCAAGGCAAGGGCAACAGGGGCAACTCTTCAAGGTGGCAGAAGACAGCAAAAGCAAGAGCAAAAGGAGGGAAAGCAAGCCTCTTTTCCTCCTTACATTGTAAGCAGGCTACCCCTGGGGGAGGTGGCACTTGCACTATGTCTGTGCCCTCCTCTCGCACAGGCTCAGGATGTTTACAAAGTGAGGACCCTGGCCCCCTGCTGAGTCACTTAGTTAACCTTCTAAACTCCTCAAGTTGACACAGTGTATCAACCATAACATCGATGGCTGGGTGATCCGATCACCTCCTACACAAGGACTTTCCAGTGTGCTCTGCTGGGAAGTTCCACACCCTTCTATCACCATTGCAATCCTAATTTCAGCTTGCATGAAAGTCTCAGTGACCTAATTAAGAAAAACTTTGAATACTTCACTTTTCAGTTTCAAGAATTTGTATTGTAATGTTTCCGGGAATTTGAGCACTGTTGAAATGTCTATAAAAGGAATTGGAATAATTGAACCCTTTTTTTTTTAATCCCACTAACTTAAGAAAGCAAGTTAAGAACAATGTCTCCAATTATTTTTTGTTTTATTGCTTCTATAAAATAGTAATGACATGAATTCCCCTTTCTAGCCATTGAAGGTGAAGCCCTGCACCTTTCCAGACAGGGAAGAGAGTTATTCAGCTGCCACAAAACTACTCTGGCTACAACGCAGCCATTAAGAATACTTTGTGTTGATAATTTTGAGCTTCCGAAGGTCATAGAAGATAGGATCACTGCAGCAGAAACGTTGAATCACTCCTGAAATTGTCCCGGTTCTTCTCCTGTTCCTCCTGTTGCCACTATCAGACCTACATTTCGTCATAATCAGGACACACTAGAAGAAAAATCAGCACAATGGGAACATCTCATACCGCTTTGCTTCCTTCTCTTCATTCTTTTTTGTTTTAAAGAGAAAAAACAATAACAAAATAACAACAAAAACCAAAACAAAACAATGTAAAAATGATACAGGACCTCAAATCAAGATGATAGGAATTAACAGTGGTTATTATATAACATATCATGATCTTCAACGAAGTTACTCAGATTACCAGATGTAAGAATGCAAGATTGATCAAGCAATTAAAGAGAATAAAAAGTAATGAGAAAACGTTGGAAATGATACAGAGTTTCACTAACCAAGATAGTAGGAATTCACCAATGGTTGTTATATTGCATATTGTTGTCTTCAAATTAGTTGTTCAGATTACCAGATATAAGCATGCAAAATTGGTCAAGAAAAAGAAAATTAAGCATTAACAGTTCCATTCAATAAACCAATAGACATCAGCAGTACCATTATCCCAGCTATCCTTGTGTGTACATACACTTTTCCCTTCCTTCTTTCTTTTTCTCCTTTCCCTCACCCCAGTTATTCCTTCCCTTTGAGCAGTTTCTTTATATTAGTCACAGAAATGTTGGCAAACATCTTCTACAATGGCTTTTAAAAGAACAAAAGCACAGGCAAACAATAATAACCAAGAAGTCTCTTAAAGCTGATTAATTGCTACTTATAAATTCTACACATTATATAAAAATACTGACTCCCAAAACATTACTTTCAGAAAAGAACTTTTGTAGTTTTCATTTTTCTAAATGAGACTGCAAGAATTATTTTTCTAGAATTTAGTCCTGCTAGAATCTAGTAAAAGAAATTTTACTTGAAAGATCCCAAAACACCTGAGTGGTTACTTTTTAATTTGGCCCAAAGTAAAATTCTGTAGTTAAAAGTCAGTGATTGCTGGGTGTGGTGGCACATACCTGTAATCCCAGCACTCAGGAGGCTGAGGCAAGAGGATCTTTGTGAGTTTGAGGTCAGCCCGGGCTACAGAGTAAGCTCAAAGCCAGCCTGAACTACATAGCAAGACAAAACTGTCTCAGAAAGACAAAACATAAAGTCAATGATTCACTGTGAAATTCAGTTTCTCAACTACTAATTATTAATAATATTTAATATGGTATGCATATTCAAGATGCAATATGCTTCCAAATAAAAATCTAGGACAGGATTCCAAAAATACCTCCACTGTTTCTTTTTCCCTGAAGATAATCAGTATATGTGCTGCTGAAGAGAGCACCTCTGAAGACAATCAGAAAGGATTTAAAAAATTAATTCTGTCTTACCCGTTATGAAGTATGTATCATTAAAAGAACAAAATGGCCATTTGCATGTGAAATACAGACACTAACAGGCTAACCTGCCCTTCCTACCTGTGGACATCCTTCCAGCTGCGTGTGTACATCCTTCCAGCTCCTGTGTACATCCTACCCACTGACAAACACTGACTAAATTTCTTTGGAATCAATCTTAAAACACGTTAAAAAAAAAGTCCACTAGTCTTTTTCAATAGCAAAAGGAGTTGATCACGTTAGATTGTTTTGCAGTGTGTCTTGGGGAACAGAGGCCAGTGAATAATTTCTTGTGGAAAGAGTCCAGAGGAAAACACTGAACAGACATCTGAGAAGCAGCATCAGGTGAGAGATTTGGAAGAAAGTCAAGGGGGAATTCCCAGCAGTGGGAGTGAATTTCACAAGTGTTTAGACAAGGAAGTTCTAAGAGAGAGTATCATCCCTCTCCGAATAACATCTGTGGGAACTATGCAAAACACTGATCAGACATGGTCTTCATGAAGAGCTGACAGCACACAACCAATTGGCTCAAATAGACCTAATGTCATATTGTTTTGCCCATCTGCTTTATGGTCCTTGATTTAATTTTATGAATTTCAACATTTAAAATGATACATGTCTCATGAAAATCCAGCTGAGGTCTACCCCTTTCTACCCCTCATAGACAGAGGCTGGGAATACTGCTCCGTAGTAGACTATATGCTCAGATTATAGAAGACCCTGGATTTGATCCTCAGGAACAAAGGGGGAAAACAACAGCAGAAAATCTAGCAACACTGTATCCTTATTACTACATCTTCACTTTAAGTGCAAATTAAGCAGGCACTTTTCCCCTTAGAGGCCACCCAAGTTTTATGAAGCTGCTTTATTCACTTACCGTAATTTACTAGTCCTTATAAACATTTGAAGTTGTAATTAGCTTAACTTTATTTTGCTACTTCGTGCTCATTTGATAATTTTACATTAATAGAGAATGTAAATACTAGTGATAAATTAAAGGAATAGCTCTACTGGATTGCAAATGGGCCACCTGAAGTCACACATACACACTCACAAATTATTCAATCACCTACGTGAACAAAATCACTTAATGTTGTGGAAAACCACCTACAATAGGAAAAACTTCTATTGTAATGTTTGCAATATTTTGGCCTTGAAAAACTTACTTCGGAAAGAGTGAGGAGAGTATCAGTGTGAAGCATAAAATTCTGTGTGGAAAGATGAATTTTAGGGTAACTTCAGCCAGGGATCCTATCCTCCCTCTGTGACTCATCCAATCATTGTTCATTCATTCATCCAACAGATACTTGCCCAGGAACTACTAGGGCAAGGTACTGTGCAAAGCTGTGGAGATTCAGTATATGTAAAACATCTGTCTGCTGCACTCCTGGGGCCTGTTTTGTAGCTAGGGAAATAAATATTAGACAGCTAATTATACAAATACATGTTTAACTACAACTGTAGCAACTCTGAAGGAAAAGCATTAACAGGGATTCTTGACCTCTCTAATCTAGAGTCAAGGTAAGCTCCTGAAGGAAGGAGACACAAAATAAGCTCGAAAAGGTAAGGAGTCATTAAATACATATAGAAGGGAAAGAAGATTTTGGAAGAGAAGGAACCACCTGGGTAAGGACCCCGGGGCAGGACACAGCCCTGCTTCTTCTGAGAACTAGCAGAGAGCCGAGGAGAAGGAAAGGCAGCAAGGGGGCTGGGGAGGTGGACAGGGCCGTGCACATCTGGTATTTTCATGTCTGTCCTGAAAGTGGTGGGGAGCTACTAGAATAATTTTGAAATCTTTTAAAGTATTCACTTGAATGTAACAGAAGAATGGACTGAAAAGGGAAAAGATGAGGTGGAAATGCAGAAAACCAAGTGGGAAAACTGTTGCAGCAGCTCCACAGAGGATAATGGCCACCAGTGACAAGAGTTGTAGCACTGGACAAAAGAAGAAATCAGAGATTCGAAGAACAGGAAGTAGAATTGCCAGGACTGGGAGATAGATTACAGTGTACATTGGGGGACTGAGGGGCGGAGTCAGCTGTGGACATCCTGAGTTTAGGGTTCCTAGAAGAGGCCCAAGATGCAATGCCCATGAAGTAGTACAGATGGGTATACGGGTACCACCACCTTAACAATATTTCAGTCAGCAACAGATGGCATATTTGATGGTGGTCCTGTAAGTTACAGTGTAGCTGAAAAATTCCTATTGTCTATTGACAAAGCCTTTGTCACATCATAACATAATGCATTACCCCGCATCTGTGGCAATGCTTATGTAAACTAACCTACCACACTGACGGTTGTATCAAAGTGTAGTGCATACGGTTATGCACAGTACATAATACCTAATAAGGACAATAAACAACTGCGCCTTCAGTTTATGTGTTTAGTACAGTATACTTTGGTTTGGGTTTTCTTTTATTTTAAAGAGAATTAAAAGAACAATAGCAAAATGTCAACAACATAGATTAAAAACAAAGCAAAGCAAAAATAATAAGAATGATACAGGGCTTCAGAACAAAATGATAGGGATTAACAGTGGTTGTTACATTACATACTTTTATCTTCATCAAAGTTCATCAGATTACCAGATGTAAGAATGTAAGATTAATCAAACCATTAAAGAGAATAAAAGATAAAAGCAGAAAAACTATAAACGACACAGAATTTTCACCAAACAAGATGATAATAATTCAACAATGCTTATTATGTTGCATATTATTGTCTTCAAGTTTGTTGTTCAGATTACCAGAAATACAATATACTTTTTTTTCCAGTACTGGGAATTGAACTCATGACCTCACGCTTGCCAGGCAGGTGCTGTGCCAGTGAGCTAAATCCCCAGCCCCTACAATATACTTTTGTCATCCATTTACGTGTACTCGCTCCACTTATTAAAAAATATTTGCTTTTAACCAGTATCATGTTACACCAGCAGTGACTTCATATGTATTGCTTCTCTTGATTGCATCATATTCTCATGTGTAGCATAATCTTATGTTGTTTTGTGCTTCATGGGCCTGGGGACAACAGGCTATATCCTGTGCCAAACAGCCTGTGTGTGGCATACCGTGTGATCTGGTTCTGGTAAGCACACTCTATGATATTTACACAATGGCAAAATTTTTAATGATGCACTTTTCAGCCATATCCCCACCAATAAGCAACATGTAAATGAACAGAGTTCAGAGAATAAACAAAGCTACAGAATTAATATAGATAATAATACTACCTCATCTATCTCCTAAGATAGTTCCACCTAAAAAGTGCCTGTCAATACATGAAACATAGTAGGTATTCACTGCTGTCCTAAGCAGCCCCCTTCCTATTTGAGGGACTCCTTGTGTCCAATTCCCAATCACCAAATAACATTATTGAAAACATACTTACTGCCCTGAGAAGAAGCTGTATTTCTCAGCTTGTACGCTTCCTTAAATGTATGGACTCCTCTTCCGTGCCCTGTCTCATTCTGGTTTTCTTACATGGTGGTTATATTAATAGTTTGAACACAACCTTTACAGAAACCATGTCAGTGGGAGAAAATCAGTGTCGAGAACAAGATCTTGCTTACCAAGACTCTGAGTACAAAGCTATTCCGAAGCAGCCATGGGTCCTCCTGGTCAACCTCCAAATCAAGCAAAGATCTCTCGGTGTTTTGTTTTTTTTTTTTGCCCTAGAGCAGGTTATAATTAATTACAAGAAATTGAGTGGTTGAATGTATATAATGCATATCCAGAATTTGTGGCATATGTTCAAACTTTGTCCATCTAAATGTAAAAAGAATCTTCAGAAATAAAATTATTCTCAATCATCTGATAACTACCTACATACTGCTCTAAGCACAAGTCATTGCAGCTTTATTTTTCTCACCTTTTATTGGCTCTAAAGAATTTTACCTTTGCTCAAAAGTTATCAAATGGAAAAGAGACCTAGAGATGAAGGGACAGGAGGGGCAGAAGAAGTAAAAAGAATTAAGACACATTATGTTCATGTATCATTGCTCCGTGATGAATGGAATCGCCCTGTACTGCAAATATGGATCAATAATATATATGTATATCTGACAGACATATATACATACCTATATATTTCATCTTTTAAAATTACAAAGTAAGTAGCCAGGGGTATAGCTCAGTGGCATAAGTGCCTGCCTGACAAGCACAAGGTCCTGAGTTCGATTCCTGGTGCCAAAAAAGAAATTTTAAAATGGTGCTATTGAAAAAAAACCTTGAAATCCAAAACCGGAATCATTTTTGCAGAGATAATAGATAATCAGATAGGTAAATAGACAATAGACAGACAGAAATGTAAACAAACAGACTGACCAAGTCTTAAGACTTTAATTTTTTTGTGTGAATCAGGCAAGTCAAGTATCATTCCCTTTTTCCAAGCCAAAAAATGTGGATTTCCCAAATCCACACATAATGGAATGAATTAAATATTTATGAAATGCAGAACAGTAAAAAACACAAGGACACAGTATAATGTAAGGAAATTTTTCATGATCACTTATAAGAAATTAATGCTGAAATAAAAGAATGATATGTTAACTCATGTCAGAGGTCACATATTCTTTAAGATCTAGACTAGTGATGACCTGGCAAGTGTGTGAGGCACCACAAAATATTGGAGAGGCTGCCTGCTGGGGGGCTTCTGGCAAATCACTTAAATTGAGCCTTTTTGCCACCTATTAATGTGTCAATAATTCCTACCGGACAAAAAGTATTTGATGATTAAGTCATTGTATATGAAGTTACTGTCATATAGTAAATACTTATCAGTAAGAGCTGTTATGAATCATTGTTATAATTATTGTTTATCTGAACTTCTTTTTAAGATACTTCCTTTAGGCATCACACCGTTTCTTACCCAATGTCAGTTTCTCACAGGAAAAAAAAACGTTCATGGTCTGAAGTCCTCGGTATGTATTATGCAATAATTAATAAGTAGGCTAAGGTATTTTTTATCAAAATGTCCTATCAAGCCAGAAGAAGGTTTGTCAGATCATTAGCTGTCAAATTACTGTGTTCTATCATGTTGCCATACTTGCTGAAATATTTTATTTGTAATCTGAAAGTGGCTGCAACCTTTGTTTGCTCATCATTTACAGTGAGAACCAAGATTTTTTTAATGATTGGCTTATTTGACTAGTTAATCATTCTGACCTACAGCAAGAGATGTAAAGTCATAACTGGTGCTAACGCATTGCACAAACACGGTCCTGGTGAATGTGTACCTAAAATTCTCAAGTAGGTATCCTATAACAAAAGAGGATTTATATGATCCAAACTAACACAGTTTCAACTTTTGTAAACGGTCATGTATATATATATTTCTTACTGTTGTCACTTCAACTATACTTAAACTACCTAATGTGTATAGATAGCTCCTCTTACTTTGCTAAATCTGCATCTGAGTCTTCTTCTTCTGCTCACCCTGACTTTTCAGACCACACTCTGGCCACAAGATCATCCAGCTGTGCTCCTAAGCAACTACGCCAAAATCGTCAATGACATGCTCCTCTTACCAAATGAATTCCAGGCATCCTAGCTCTGGTAATCTGAATGCAGAATTACCTTTCCTTTCTTACCTTTTGTAATTTCCTAAAAGGTTCTTTAAAAGCCTGTTCCTCAGACATTTACCCAGCTAGATATCATTCAAAACAGAAAGGGAATGGGAAGAATTTCATGCTAACACATTCCTTGGTTCCCCCAATGTACTAACCTTGAGGAAATTAAGATATTCTATAGTAAAGTAAGTTGTTCTGTGCTTCTGTCCCTTTAATCTGGCACTACATCATTGTAGCATTTTTTTTTACCTACTTGACTTCAAAATATACTCCAACAAAGCTAATTCAGTCCCTGCTTTCAAAATAATTAGTCACATTGGTTCTAGCAGTGCTCTTTGTGACTTTTTGGAAGATTGGATGACTGTCCATTCTCTGATTGCACCTGTGCCTCCACACCCTGGACCACCCCTCCTCACCCATCCGCCAGACTCTAACATCCCAGCTTCCCACCTCCACCCAGTGACTTGTGAATATGTGTTATTTGCCATGCTGTGTTGTAAGCTTCTTGAGAACCAAGTCATATCTGATTTCATAAATGGCAAAGGCCGTCCGGGGGAAAGAGGATTGAGAAGGCTGGCGAATGCGTGAGGAAAGGACATCCTTGAATAACCAAGGCTGAAGCTCTCTCAGCTACTAGGTAGTTGGGGGAGGACGCAGGCTACCTGATTGCTGGTGGGGTGAGACTTAAATGGAGCCTCTCGGTTTAAAATACTGAGAAAGAAGAAAAACTAACAGAAAAGCTGCTGCTCACAATAAACAGGGCCCTTTGCCCTGGGGAGCATAACCCTGGAATGGCAGGAATTTTAGAAATAATTTCCCAGTCTTGACCTTCTCTGCATATTCTACCCACGATGTTATCTCTTGTGGAAACACTAAAAGCCAGGTTACCCACGCCTCTTGCCTGTGGCCCTTTCCTGCCTTCCATGTTGCAAGAGTCACAGGTCTCGCCCAGCTATCACCTTCCAAAGCATAGGCCTTCCCCAGAGGAAGGCTTTCAATCAAGGGACCGACATCAATTTTCCTGCCCATCTATGTAATTCGACATTTTAAATTCAATAATTGTACATGAAATTTTGTAGTATGTTTATAGTCTGGAACAAATTTTTACTAGTATTTATAATGATTTTCCAGCCAGAAAAAAAAATTAATATTTAAAGCCTTTGGTTACATGAAAAATTCAATTTATAAATTTTTTTTTCTTTTTTTTTTTGAGACAGGGTCTTATTACATAGTGGGGTTTTTCTGTTTTTTATTTGTTTATTTGTTCGTTTGTTTGAGACAGGGTCTCCCTATGCAGTTCAGGCTGGCCTTGAGCTTACTTTGTAACCCAGGCTGGTCTCAAACTTCAACAATCCCCCCGCTGCCTCAGCCTCCTGATTGCTGGGATTACAGGTGTGGGCCATCACGCCCAGCTTATACATTATTTTCCTATAGAGAAGTATGATAGAGTGATCAATAAAAGTCTTTCAGGCATAAAAGGATGAAACTGTTACATCATATTATAATTATATTAGGATGAAACTCTTTGCAGAAAATGGAATAGAAGTATAGATTCAAGGAGAAAGAATTTAAAATTTTCAACTGTTATATTAGATCTTATGTATATTATGTGTACTCACATATATATTTGTACATGTGTATGCAATTTCATATAAATATATATTTCAATAAACAATGAATATCACACTACCTGTACCTTTTTGCATTGTTTTGAATACAATTAAAATAATAATGAAATGTTTTTCTTGATCTCAATATTTATTATACTGTAGATAATACACTTCCTCCATAAAATTTTCAGTCAGTTATGAAAAACTATAAATTTAAAAATGTATAAAGGGTACCTTTTAAAAATACTAATGTTTAAAAAGTGTAGGAGGCCTGGCATGGTGGCATACGCCTGTAACACCAGCACTCGGGAGGCTGAGGTAGGGGGATCGTTGCTAGTTCGAGACCAGCCTGGGCTACAAAGTGAGCTCAAGGCCGCCTGAACTGCACAGTGAGACCCTGTCTCAAAAAGACAAAAAAAATAAATAAATAAGATACATGGGTAATGAAAGAAACCAACTTCAGGCTTGAAACTGTAGGAAAAACACTTGAGACCCGTGGCAGCTGTCCTACCTCTAGAATAGGTGAAGATACAGACAGGTGGCGGCAGTCACTGGTGGGCACGCACATACGCACACACTCTGCTCATGCGTGCATTTAACCTCCCTCTATGCTACAGTTAGTCAGACCCGTGGTTAAGATCGTGAAACACGAAACGACTCCAGAACCGTGACCTGTGAGTTTCACCCCGCCCCCACCTTACACTGAGCTGCTGGGTCAGCAGCAGCCAGAGGACGCAACGGAGAACAGAGGCTCCCAAGCAAGTGGTAGCCAGGGCACGGACTGTGCCAGGAAGGCCAAGGAGGAGTTCGGGTCCGTTAAGAACGCAAACGCCTTTGGAGTGCAGATGGAAGCAGGCCTCTTGAGAAGTTAAACAGTCTCAGAGAGAACTCCATATAAACCCTACAAGACAGAAGTGTCTGCTTTGTAGACAGATGCGTGGAACACGTGTGGACCCCGCTAGGGCCTTGGGAGGAAAGAGCTTTGGCTTCAGGGCCAGAGATTGCGGCTGAGACCCAGAATACACACTGACACAACCTAGAGGCCAGTGCATGTTTTCCTTGTGCTCTACAGACAGGATGGAGACCTGTGTGGCGGCCTCGGCTACGCCTGCATCTTTTGTTCCAGGAGCGTTGAAAACTGCCTTAGAAATGTTTTCATTCATCCTCTTCAATCCGGTGTCAAAATCAAACAGAAAGCTAAGAAAATATTGGCTTAGTTAAGGTTCAAACATGCACAGTTGAGGGGAAAAGAATACCCTGAGATACTAAAATCTTTCATGTTGATTTTCCACATTAATCAAATACTGAAGATAATTACTTAATCTTCCACTTCATTTACCTGTGTAGATTAGGCTGCCTCTGCCTGAGGGGAGAGCACCAGATCGTGACATTTTCAGGGCCCTTTTCAGTCCACAGGATGGCAGATTCGGTTTCCCCTAGGGCAGGAACAACGGGAAGTGTGATCTAAGTGTTTCGTATCATGAAAATGTGTCAGAAACAAGGCTTCCTGTCTTCCCCACCTACCCGTGCAAATATGCTCATTTTCATCTGTCTTCCAAGACGCAGATTGGTTAAAATTGGTTGGCCTTTACTCCACAGACAATAGCCAAAGAAGTAAGCTTTTGCAATCTAGTTCTGACCCAAGATAGTCCTTTTGAGTTCCCCTTGACAAATCTTTCTCCATCCTGGGAATGGTGTGCTGTGACTTGGAGACGCGAGCCCTCTCTTGGAGTCAGATGACCTCAATTCCAGCGCTGCTCTGCCATTTATTATTTGTGTGACCTCAGCACCTCCTCACCTCAGCACCTCCTCTGCGCCCTTGTAAAATGAAGATAGTATCTACCTCAAGAGGTTATTAAATAAGAATATAGGTAAAATGGGCGTCGTTGTTAATTTTCTTCCTTTCTATTTGACGCCTGAAAGGTGTTATCACAGCTTAAAGTGCTCGGCTTTAAATTTGTCTCCATGTGAGCGCAGAGGAACAAGAAAGAGCGACGGAAACACACAAGAATAAGAATGTTTGTGTGGATTAAGCAAAAAGACCAACACGAGGAAAAGCAGAAAACTTCAAATTACCTGAAACAGGGTTAATTGTTTAGGATTCTCTGGTTTCAGTGAGTAGTTGGAAACTTAAATCACTTTCATTCATGAATATTAAACCAAATACATCTAATTTAGCCTAAATTGATCTCTCCATGTAAATAAATGACTCTCATAATGAGTCACATAAGAATATTAATTTTTAAAATAAAAGAAATAGCAAGAAGGTGATTTGATTTGATGAAGCTCGTTTCATTTTTATAGCAGTTAAGGACTACGGAAATACCAGCAAAATATCCCGGATGATGACGACGATGATAGCGGTGGACAGTTAAGACCCAGTTAGTTATGCTACAGGTACAAGTGGCTGAGGGCTTGCTGTGTTGACCAGCGTTAGTGGGGAAGTTTCAGGTTTATTACCTCTTTTTACTGTAGTAACAACCCTACCAAGTAGGCATCATTACTTCCATTGTAAGAATGAACAATGTCAAACCAAAAACTCCCCAGCTAGAATGTTGAGGAGTTAAGATGAAGCTCTGGAGACTTCATGCTTAATCATTAGCCAGGAATATCACTGAAATATCCTCTGAGAACTAACGAAACTGGAAATAAAAAATAACCTGCCAAAGTCATCGCTCAGCCTCCCTCTTCTCCCTCCAGGTCCCCATGAAGCTAATGTTAAGTACGGATCTTCTGTTAGAGCCAGGGAAAGGAAAAATTCTACCTAAAATCATTTTTTATTTGTACAAGTTTAGTTATCCTTTCAACGGTATAACTTTAAACACTTATTAACATAAAAGACACAGGACAATATCAGGGCAAGAAATATAGCTCAGTGGCACAAGCACCTGCCAGGCAAGGGCAAGGTCCTAAACTGGATTCTCAGTATGAACAAATAAAGAATGACATCAATGAAATGCCAATTTAATTAAGAAATATTTAAATGTATACCTATATTGATACACATTTTACCATATTATACAATACATTGTATAATAAAAGGTTCTTATTCACCAAGAAATGAAATGAAATTTTCTATAGAACTCAAGATATTAAAAGGCAGAGATGTCAGGGCTGGGGATTTCGCTCAGCACCACAGCGCCTGCCTGGCAAGCATGAGGTCCTGAGTTAGATTCCCAGTACTGGAAAAAAGCAAAACAAAACAAACAAACAAACAAAATAAAAGACAGAGATGTCAGGAGTACGGTTTTGCCTTTATTATTATTGCCATTTTGGCATTTATAGGACAGTGTTTTCCATAGGAAATGCATTCTACTTAAGAAAGCTAATCCTTTTTGCCATGGGCAAAGCAATCATCTCTAATCTGTGCCCAAGATTTCAACTTTATCGTCAGACATCCAGCGATCATCAGATGTTCAGTGACACTTCGAAAATTCAGCTTGCATGACTGTCAGAAGTGTACACCAGGGCCAAAGATCCTGCAGTAACTTATAATGCCATTCATGGGTCCCGGACTGTCACATGCACCATCATAGAAGGAAGTGACAGAGGTTGATGAACTTTATCTAAAGCAATAAAAAGAAAACCGCAAAGAGCATAATCTCTGTTTCAAGAAACCAACTCATATTTAGTAAAACAGACTAGAAATGATAATAATAAAAATGACACCAAAATGACTATTATTTGCTATTCGAACTTGACCTAAAATTTATAAAGACAGTGTCTACTTTAGCTCTCTGCCAGCCTCAAATTTCTTTCACTTTTGAACCACTTTTGGTGCTTGTCATGTGATGTAAAGGCACCGGGATGGAATGGATAGTTGGTCAGCAGATCACATCCGTCTCTGCTTGTGGAGCCTACAATCTGTCTCTCTTCATCCTCATGGAGACCTGTGCAGAATCCTTATCGGATTCTGTGCAGAAGCCAGGGCTGATGGACAGAGGGAGGGTGACCAGGTGATGTGGAGAAAAAGATGATCAGAAAAGTACAAGGGTGAGAAGATGGAGCACATTGGAGAGAGAGACAGAGGAACGTGCCACCCACAGCTGCACGCAAGACCCAGCACTACCGTAAAATTGATTGAAAAGAATATACTCCTTGCAACTTTTTTTTTCGTAATATCACAACGTTTCCATTATTAGAGCGGTGTTCTTGAGGTGCCTAACTTCATATTCTTAGATTAATATTGATAGTTTCCAAGGCAAATAGTAAGTTCCTGTATTTTATATTATCTTTCTTTTTCATTAAAACTAACATGTTACAGAGATCAAGATCTAACCGTGAGGTGATGAAAAGTGAAAAACTGTAAATGTCAGCTTCATCTGTGGTCATAATAGCTTAATGACTAAGCCTAGAGCAGAAATGTGCTCCAGTATATTATATGTGTAACATATTATAACGTAACATATATATACAACATACACATACAAATTAATTGTATATTACATGAATGGTATTTTTAAAGTTACTATAACCAATAACAAAATTAATTTTGAGTCACTACAAAAGTCACTTTTTTGTTATTTTGTTTTTGTTCTTTTCTCTTTAAAATAAAAATATATATATGTATATACAAGGATAGCTGGGATAACTGTACTGCTGATGTCTATTGGTTTATTAAAGGAATAATTAATGCTTAAATTTTTTTTCTTGACCAATTTTGTATGCTTATATCTGGTCATCTGAACAACTAATTTGAAGACAACAATACGCAATATAACAACCATTGTTGAATTCCTACCATCTTGTTTAGTGAAGCTCTGTATCCTTTCTAATTTTTATCACTTGTTATTGTCTTTAATAGTTTGATCAGTCTTGCATTCTTACATCTGGTGATCTGAACAATTTCATTGAAGATCACAATATGTAATATAACAACCACTGTTAATTCCTATCATCTTGTTTTGAAATCATGTATCATTTTTATTATTTTTGTGTTGTTTTGTTTTTGTCTTCATTGTTGTTATTTTGTTATTGTTTTTCTCTTTAAACTAAAAAAGTCACTTATTTTTAAAACAAATGGTTTTACTATTAAAATATACATGATCTGTATAGTGTATAACAACATATTGTATGCCATACATGTGTAACCTAACCCTAGAAGAATATTCTTCTATCATTAAATGACTGTAATTTATTTATTGAAATTTTTAAAATTCTTTATTTAATGAAATTTCTTTACAGCATGTAAAATAGTCACTGTATTTTTTATAACCTTTCTTTTGATTCTTATTTAAAGAATGAATTTTTCTGATTACTTGTTTAAAGGTAACTCTTTTATGAAAGTAAACTTAAATATCTATCTCAGCCAAAAAATTTACCTAACCACTAATTAATTGTGGAAACTTACCAAAACAATGTTTTTATACAAGGAAATCAATAATAGAGTGGGCTTAGTATGGCTATTTTGGTACGAGATACGATTTAAATAAAATTTTTGGCTATGGAACCCTTTTTAGGTCAAAACACTGCTGGAAAATTGGTACTGAATGAGCCCGACATGATCCTTGACATCATGAACACTGCAGCCTGAAGAAAGGAGTAGCAACATTGAAAGTGGATATCTACATTTCAGGCATCAGTAGAACAGAAATGATACTAGACGATCCCTGGCAGTCTGTAATATGTTATATGCAGTTTATGGAACATTTTGCATAAGATGTTAAAGCAGAACTTGGAGATCTATAAAATCTTCCCAGGTCAGGCCAGCAACTCCTCGGGCAGCCCCCCCACCCAGGAAGATGTACTTGATCTTTCTCACCTCAGTCCCGTGCTTTTCTCTCTGATAAGGGAGACACTTCAGGCAGTTCTCTCATGAGAATCGCCTCCCCCTAGCAGGACCATACTGGGTACCAACACAGGTAAAACTAGCAAATGGAGTTATAAACAAGCTTTACTGATCCTAATGTCCTGAGTTGCACAGGATATGTTTTCTTTCAAGGCTAAGATAGGGTTACCAGCTAGGATAGCTAACTGCCCTTGTTTCATTCCTGTGTCTCCAATTGCTTGATGTCACAAATTCTACAAAAGGGACCTCTTCTTGATTTGGGGGCCAGTATAGTTTTGAGTATTTCTACTGGCTGAGACAGTGCACCATTAAAGCCCTCCTGAAAAATCCCTCCTATTCCTTCCTTTGAACAGTGAATGCCTAATTTTTTTTTTCTGATAATCTGAACAACTAATTTGAAGACAACAATATGCGAGATAATAACCATTGTTGAATTCCTGTTATCTTATTTAGTGAGATTCTGTGTTGTTTCTAATTTTTTTGGTTTTTATTTTTTATTCTCTTTAATGGTTTGATCAATCTTCCATTCTTATATCTGGTAATTTGAGTAACTTTGTTGAAGATAACAATATGTAATATAACAACCACTGTTAATTCCTATCATTTTGTTCTGAAATCTTGTATCATTCTTATTGTTTTTGCTTTGTTTTGTTTTTGTTTATGTTATTGGTATTTTGCTCTTGTTCTTTTTTTATTATTCTTTTTAAAACTTAAAAAAAAATCCCTCCTGGTCTCTCTGGTTTCTTGGAAATTCCACAATATAACCTTTGTGTTCTGGTGATTTGGTGCTCTATCTTAAATTATCATCAAGTGTGTATTGCTCCAAACATGGTCCCTTACGTAGTTAGCACAGTTCTAAGGTGCCCCTGGTTATCGGATGTATTTTTTGTGTGTATTACTATTAATGAAAAAACAGTATCAAAGTAATAGACATTAATTTTTCCTAAGAAGTTTTCCACTGCAAGAAGAACCTATTTAAACCATCTTTGGTATCATGTCAGGGATAGTAAATCTATGCTATGGTTCCTTTTCTTGTATAAATTCCAAATGTGTGTGATGGAATCCTTGAAATCTAAAGAAAACTTACTCCAGTGTCCTCCTCCTCTAGCCTCGTCATCAATCATCTCTTCATAGTTTCCCTCTTGACAGTGGTATCACCTGGTTGGAGTAAAGAATCTATCTTGGGATTTTTAATACTTTTGTATCCTCCAGTCTCCTCCAGCTGTGCTAAAGACCCTGTGTACATAGTACCTGCTTTACCACAGGTAAAATAATCAGTACAACTCTAGCACACTCCTATCTGCTCCAAGAGCAAGGGAAACACAGCTCAATTCCTCAGATGTGCCCTCCTCTGCCTACCAGGACACTACTTGGAAATAGAAATAGCTTCTTCATTACTGCATGCATTTAATTTTCCATTTTGATTTTTGTTCTTGTTTTGGTTTGCTTGTTTTTTAGAGAGGAATTTTTTTTATATATTGAGTATTCCTAGAACTCTCTCTTACTGAATAAGTATACAAGACTTTGTTACATCCAAAATGACAAAAGCAAGCATTGTATTTACAGCGGTGTAAGACATTAATATTTCTATGCTTAACTATTTTAAGCCTATTTATAAATGTAACACTCTACAGAGTTCACAATGCAGAGTGAACTGGCTGTTAGAATTTTTATTATAGTCCTTTGTGGAAGAGAGAGAGAAAAGCTGACCATTTGGGATCACAGAAAGTTCAATTTCAGCACCTACCCTGAGACATCTGTAAAGTGGCTGGAGAGAGCAAAATATGTCTTACAAGGAATAAATGCTGCCTTTGAATTATTTCAGTTCAGTTCTCACATCAAGAAAAATAATCATTAGGGGTAAATGCCTACACTGTTGTATTTT